AACTGATGCTGTCTGGATGTTGTTGTTACGCAAATTGCAATTACTGTACCTCAATCGCTAAATGCCAAATGGCATATTTCGTTAATTCGTATCGTTCCACTTTGGGAAACTCGCTCGACTATTTCTCACGTGGAGTTTGCACGACTCTGCAGAGACCCGTTTCTTTTAAAGAGTACAGAAACGTCCATTAGATAATGGATTAATTGATTAATTGTATAAAAAAGAATAAAATATAAGCAATGAAATTTTATCTTTAATTTTTTCAAATAATTACAACTTTTAACTCTATTAAAATAGAAAATTTAATTAAATTTTCGATAATTTAGAAACACTTTTTCTTAACCAATTTGTTTTATTCAATTATAATTTATATTCTATGAAATATTTCAAAATTAGTTTATAGTATCAATAGGAATGAAATGTTTTTTTTTTTTGGGAAATGGAAAGATAAAGTGAATCTTTGAACTTGTTGATTTGAATGTGAAACAACAAAAAAAAACACGTTTTACATTGGTTTTAGCAATGCGTATCTGCAAAGCATGGACGTTCAACATAAAAATGTAGCTATATACTATTTCTTTGTGAATCAAAGCAAAAAAAAATAAAGGAGATAAGTCTAAGAAATAGAATATTGATATTTGATTCGTATCGGTCAATGTTCGAAACTTTCTATCGAAATTCGTCTGAATTTATTAAAATATATTTAATTCAATCGATTTTTATTTAATTGTAAATTGATGAAATAAAAGTTGATTAATATGAAAATATCTAATAGAAATTGAAAAATTAATTAGGTAAAAAGTTGGACATACAAAGATTACAAAGATACACAAATAAAAGTTGAAAAAGTAAAAATTATTTAATAGAAAAGTTTTTAAAATAAAATTTAAAATATTAATGAGACAAAAAATTGAATAAGAGTTGAAAAAAATAATGAAAGAAAAGTCAAAGAAATAAATATTAATAGAACAATAAAGAAAATTTATTAAATAAAAGTCGTAACAATAAAAAAATCACGAAAAGTTGTAACAAAATATAAACACTGCTGTTCTTCTTTTGGTCAGCGGTTTCGAATTGAACAGCAAAGTTCGTATACAAGCTGGGTATTGTTGTTGTTGTTGCTGTTGTCGATAAAAGTCTAAGAAGGAAGGAGTGACTTGCTCGGAGATGATGATGATGCCTCTGCTATATGACCACATTAGCATTGAATGTGGCTGACGTCAGACGGGCGAGCCCGGGTCACTCTCTTCATTGTCCTGCGGTCTCCTCCTCCTCCATCTCCTCTGCACGCCCGCAACTCTTTTCTTCTCTTCTCCTCACGAAAAACCCAAGAAAACAGAGAGATGCCCATCTTACTACATCCATCTCGTAAAGATCATACATCTCCTCGTGCTAACTGTCAATTGGTCTCCGGGTCAACTAGACGTCATTCTCCATACAAAAAAAAACAATATAATATTGTTATACGTGTCCATAGCAACATAGCAACCAAGCCTACATTAATAAAATTATTCAAACGCTCACATTTCTCACCTGCAATCCAATTCAGTCTAACAATAATTCAATAATCGTATTTTCCTATAATACGACACAAATTTTAAGAATAAAAATATATTATTATATAAACAAACATACTTAAGATTTGTCCCAATTCTAAATCTAGGACTATAATAATATAAATATTTAATATCTTTTATTCTTCAATCAATATTTAATTGCGTTGATTAATTGACGTTTGAAGAAAAAAGAAGAAAAGTTTAATCAATAAAATGACTCAGATTTGAACAACACAAACAAAACTTGATGGCAGTTTCAAAGAACGCTACCCCAGTTATGAAGAACGCCTTTTGATTATTAGAAACTGGATGACAGTTACTAAGGACGTTGTCCCAATTGCCAAAGACGCTGTCCCAATTACCAAGGACGCTTTACGTTTTTTTTTGGACTTTTTGACAGTTGCTAACAAAGCTATTCCGATTAGCAAAAACGGTTTATGGATGCAATGGTTTAAATGACAGTTAGTAAGGAGGCCATCTCGATTTCGAAAGATGCTTACGGTTGCCATGGACTGTATGACAGTTACTGCAATATAATGTATAAACATTTAAATGGAAGGAATTAAAAAAATTAACAAATATAAAAATTACCAAAAAAGACAAATGAAGTATTTGAAAGAACATTCATTTTATCATCTAATCACAAAATATGTTTGTGATTAGATTCACAGAAAGTTTTTTGAGAGATTATATATTAAATTGTAAGATATCTTCAATAGGAAATTACTCAGCTCTGCTCGTCTCTGTTAAGTTAAGCAAATCAAGTTTATCAAGTTAATAACAGAAATAAGAGTCAAAAACAAAGGATGCTGTAAAAATAAACGTTAATCGTGCAATAATTTTCTCTCTCTCTCTCTTTCTCATTTCGTTTATCTTTTTTATTGCATACATTTTGGTTTCTGTTCGTTACTAAACAAATAAATAAATAAAACGGTTTGATTAGAATTTGTGTTGTGGTCAGAAACGCGGCCGTTATCTGAGCCCCCATGTTGGTGCGCAGTAATCCAATCCCGGACTTCCGTCCTCGCTGATTAAAAGTCCCTCCGAAGTGACCAAATCGCAAACAAACTGTATACATTTTTGTATAATTTTAATATAATCAACAACAACAAAATTCGAGTTTCCGAATTGACAAAATCTAAAATATTTCTGTGTATATTTTGTAACATTTTTATTTTTATTTTTTTTCTGATTCATTTAATTCGATTTCCACTTCAAACGAATTAATTCAAAGTAAATTATACAGCACGTCATTTCCTAAAATGTATGCACCTGAGACAACTAAGACTAAGACGTAATGTCTTGAAAACAAAGGTTTCCCAATGATGTTATTTATCGCTAATAGGGAACACAAAAATGTTAATTGCTAATTGTTGAATGCTCGGTGCAAACCGATACACACTCATAATGGAATTATGCTCGGAACTCAAGGTGAACGCTGGCTGCTCTTTCTCTCCACTCTCGGAGGATGCAAATCGCTGGAACACTCCGAAAGCATTTGCACCATTGTGTGCTCATTTCTAAACCTTCAGTTTAGCAAAAAAAAATGCAACTACAACTTCAATTATTATATAATTAATTTTTAAATATTGAAAATGTCTTTTCTTCCTTCGTTGCAAGTGTTATTTTAGGATGGTCGGTATCGGAATTGGATAAGATGTTGCGCAAACATTCGGAAATTTGTCGCAATTAGCTTATAGATAAGGCTCAGAGAATTCCAGGTAAATTCACTAAATCCGGATGACATCACAAAGTAAACATTGTAAAGATACAATTTGTATATAGAATAAGTTCAGTTATTATTGTTGTTAAATTAATAAACATTACAAGTATAACGAAAATAAGAATGTGTGTTTTTTTTAAGTGAAACTGTAGGTTTTTTCAAATTTTATTTTGTATTTCTCTACAAGGCTTTGGTCAACGGATTAGAACGAACGTGCTTACGCAGTACTGGTTATTACACACTCGTTGTTGTATATACACCTATTTTCGGTCTCCTTATCTGCGCCGGGCTACGTGACACGATAAATAATATTGTAAGAAAACGGCGTGTGTTTAAAAGTCGCATAATTTACTATTTATACCATTTCGGTCAAATCGAAATCAAATCTAGAGAACATTGATGTTGACCTATTGATGGAGAAAATATGATCGAATGATCCATTGCAAACAAATAAATAAAAACAAAATGAAAAAATTAAAACAATGATATTTTGACAACGATATGATCTGAATACAACTAAAACGAGCATATTGTGATTTTGTATTTTAGATAAGGAAATATTCTTGCCTGGAAAAACCGTATTCATTGATTATTCGTGAATTTATAACAATATGAAATTGAGCTACGTTATATAAACAATACTATATTTGTAAATTATAGCTTGAAATTAGATTTTTCTTGCAAGATACGACAAGTTTATAATTTTGTGATAATAAATAAACTAAGAATAAATACTACAATAATGGTAAATAATTTGAACTTAAAGAACATAAAATTAATGAGAGTTTTTAATAAAGTTTACTTACTTTGTTAATGAATGAAATATAATCAAAAATCATGTAAAAAAATCTTCTGTCTTGTGAAAATGGAATTGGGACTAAATAATTATGAGTTAGAGATTTGATTCATATGGTCAAAAATAAATAAATACAAAGAGAAATCTAGTTCAAACGTAGAAGCTTCTGATTTAACTTAATATCAATGAAAACAATTGAAATTATGTTAAATATTGGCCAATTTAGATGATTTTTTAAAATTTGGGTTGCATGTGTTTTTCTTAATTTTTGATTTAATTAATTGAAATCGTTTTGAAAATTATAAAATTACTAATGTTTGCATTATTTTAATTAATATAATAGTATTAAGTTGAAAAGAAGTCTTATAATTATGAAAATTATAATATGAATTCTTGGTTTTTCCAATTTCGTGAACTTATAATTTTTAGTTTTGAGAATTTAATCATTTGGAAAAGTACGAAATCGATAATGTTGATTGTTTATAAATCTATTACTATGATAGTATTCTATTGGATATTAGATTGTCATGATGAGAATTCTAAGTTGAAGTCCTTGTAAAGTTAATTTGTAATTTGCTCAATATTTCGTTAGCCAACAGAATTGTGTAAATAAATAAATTAGTTAAATAAGTTTGAGAAAATTACGTAAAAGTCAATTTGTGTGAACTGGAAAAGCGTCGCGACGCCAACGGGTGGCGCGGCGCTGCGGACAAAAGCAAAAGCGAACGGAGACGCCACCCCCGCCTCGCGCCCCGCCCCCAAAAACATCCGCCGTCGCGTCTCTCCGACGTAACGAGACGGCACTTAAAAAAAAACTCGGAGAGAAAAGTTAATTAATTATTTCGGAACGGAACTTCTTAGCGGCGCGCCGTGCGATTCCGCGTGAATGAGAAGAAGAGGTGCTACGAAAATAGAAATAAAAATAAAAAAAAAGGCGAGTTTCATTCATGGTTTGTGGAGTGGTAGTGTAGTAATCATTGATGATGATTGTTGTTGTTTTTGATGGTGCGATAGTTTTTGGTGGATGCACAAGTTGCCAAAAGATGATGATGAAGAAAAAGGGTTTCGTATTGTAGGTGTTGCGGGGGTGGGGGGTGTTTGGTTTTCAGGTTTTGCCCGTGTTTTGTCCTTCTCGTAGGTTCGGTCATCCTCCATCCCCCCCACTCCCGGTTAATGCGCAGCGGCAAGCAGCCCTTCCTATACGGGGTGAGTGTATCCGGCCGATGGCTAGTGAGTGTCCTCCACGAAGAAGACCGAGCGCTTCCGACGCGACTCCCCGATACACCGGATCGTCTCCTTGTCCATGTACACACACGCGTTCAGGACACTGGCTACTCAGCATCTCTCGCTGGTCCAGCGCATACATACACACACTACTGCATACATACTCTCACGAGAGTAGTTTGCAGCATCGGTAGCAGCAGGAGTAGACTCCTTCGCTTCCTTCCTCATTCAATCTCTTCAGTGGTGGTGATAAAACACGTGAGGAAGTCGTAGTCTTCCGGAACTTCGTCAACGAAACCACCGACCCCAGTGCAACAACATCATCCCAATAAGAAACTCTATAGTTTCTGCAGGATTTGAAAACAGTGCCGCGAACACAAGTATAATCCTCCTGGCGAGGAACAAGTGCTCGAACAAAAACAAACAACTACAGTTCTATCGTGCAATTGCAACAATACAAAAAATAAATAAAGATCGTTCGTTGATATCTAAAACTCGAGTGTTATTATTATTGTTTGGTTGTCATCCAGTAAGCAGGAAGATGATTTAAAACATAAACTTTTTCTTTCTGTTTGTTTTTTGGGATACTTCAAAGTCAAAAAATACAATGGATTTAAGCTGATCTAAAGCGAAGTGTTTGTTTCGTAACTTAGTTATGCTGTGCTCCCATCGGTGCATCATCGTGTAGAGTTAAGAAGACAGCGAAAACCTCCCGCAAACAAAAAACAACAAAAATCCGCCAAGATGAGAATTAAAATGCCCGCCGTGCGGATCGCCCAAGGTGAGTACCGAAACGATAGCACCTGATCAACAAAACAAAATAGAGTAGTTAGTGTACCCAAGTCGGGTCAAGAAGCCGCTGACCATTGGAAACAATCACCGTGCGAACTGTGCATCATAAAAAAAAGGGTGCATACCATCATCCAATTAAGAAGGGATGGGAATAATAATATAAAAAAAGGCGCAACCCTTCAGGTACTTTCGAAGAAGCGCGTGTCCTGTCTTGTCTTCTCCTCAATCGGATGCGCGTGTTCATTATGCGAAGGGTCATCCCTTCTTAATTCACCCCTTTTTCACGGCACACTTGTTTTCTTCTCTTTTTTTTTTGTTGATAATCATCCTTAAGACACGCGACTTGCCGCACTTGAAACTTCACAGAACATCACAGAAAAAAAAATGTACGACAAGTAAAATAATATACTTGCAGTTTTATTCCCGTTATCATTTGACCACGTTTCGATGTACTATATATAAATACATAAATAAATAACGTTAGGCTGCGTTATCTTTGCACCGCAAAAAAAAACTATGCGTGTTTTGTTGATAAGAGGAACGCGCGCGACTTTCAGCAAAAATTCCCAATCCGACAGGTAACTAAAGTTCTAGAGTAATTCCACCTGCTTAACAAAGTTGACCCTTTAACAAGTTTGCACTTTTCGTGCAGTTAAAACAGGTGTTTTAGCATAGTTACTTCTTTTTCTGAATAGAATTGTACTCATTGAACGAGTCCTCAGTCTGGACAGGAAAGGTTGCGGTTCCGATATCGAAATTCTACAGATTTCGACGAAAATTTATCATCGTTGAAACGCAATTTACTCAAACAATTTTATATTGAAAATATCAGTAAAAAATCATTTTATTTAGACAAACATATTTTTTAATTATTTTTTATTAGAAATAAAAGTGAACAAAATGTATTTAATAACATACAATATTTTGTAAAGAAAAAATGTCTTTTAAAAATGAATTAATTTCAATTTATTGAAAGAATAATTTTATTGTTTATTAAAACATAATTCATCACTTCTAAGAAAAATGTGTTTGAGAAATACTCTCGTATTAGTTTCTATTATAGTAAATAAATGATTTTTTATAATAAATAAATTTACCGCAATTTCATTCTTATTAGAAAGAAAAAGGTTAAAAAAAGTTTTGAACATAAATTTATTATAATAATCAAGAATTATTTCTTAATTACAAATTTATTGGTGTGATTTCTAAATAAAAAACAAATAGAATCAGAAACAAATTTCATTATAAATTATATATAGATTTAAAAAATCTATTATCAGTAGAAAAACATTTATATTTTACTGTAAAGAATATATTAATTTTATATCTGCGTTTCAATTTTTTATAATAATTTGGAATGTCCACACTTCAAAATCAGATGTTTTCAACTAAAATCGAAAGAACAAAGTCATATAAATTTTGTTATTAAAATGAAATAAATATTTTATTTGAGAAAGAGCATTTGTTAGGTAATTAATTTGTTGATGAAAGACAGCGATGGAATTATTTATCGATTACATTGACACTTGTACCTTTTTTTTTAGATAAGGTTTCGTGTTGTGTTTTGTATATGAAATTTACGATAAATGAAATTGTTAATTATAATGAAGAGGAAAACCTGGGTCAAAGGTCCTGGCGATTATTGCAATATTCTTTTTTGTTTTGTTAATATTAATGAAATATTTATTAGAAAGTTATTTATAAATTGAAAATCTAAATGTGATAGAATAAGTCGTAATTGTAATAAGTCTTTAAATTCTTATCATTAAATTATAAATAAATAAAACTTTTGTTTAATTATCGGTTGAGATTTAGAAACCTTTTAATGTGCATCTTACAGAATAAGACTACCGAAAGAGATTCAGTTAATTGAGACTAAACGATTGCTTGAGATCTTGGAAAATCGAGCGAAGAAAGTGAAGTTTAAGACGAGATGCGACGGGGCTCGGAAAGTAAAATACTCGAAATCAGAGGCGGCTTTGAGCTCAATGAGCCAATTAATTTCCTCTTTCGCTTTTCAATAGGATAAATAAAAATAATAATGAGGCGATAATGAAGCGTTATTAATAAACAAAATAAAACAAAAATTAAAACGCATTTCGTTTGGATTTGAATAAATACATAAATTAATTTAAAAAATGAAATTTTAAATATTTTTATTATATAAATTGATAAAAAAAAAACTTGTTAATATGTGCAATGGTTATTGTTAAGAGTGAGTTGCAAGGGGGATCCGCTAGATGTCCCCATGTATGCCACCCTCGTCGGCGACTTGATTTCCGGCGCGGTTCGCTTAGGGGTGGGTGGAAGGGCTCTCCTCCGCAGGCCACACGATGGATCGTCCATCCCTGTCGCACGCATCGAGCGAACGGTGCGCCGCGGCAAGGCTAATATTGATACAACATTTCTCACCTCTCCGGCGCTCAACTGTTTACATAATGTCCTTTTTGTAGTCTTAATTAATTGACCGAGTAATAGCGTGTGAGTGTGTGTGTGTTTGAGTGCATGCGTGTGTTTGCACGACGTAAACAGTCCCATATTGCCTCATGAGATGGAGATGCTGTGCGGGATGATGATGGACGATGCATGATACTCGCACTTTGATCCAAACTCGCCCATTAATTAATCCGCGATTAATCCCGGGAGGCAAATCTTAAAAACAAAAGCTCAATTTCCAGTTGTTGTTTTCTTTATTTCTCGCTTGTTTCGCTGTAGCGAAGGATTGAGGAGGCTTGTTGACCTTTTCGCATCCTCAAGACAATGGGCGGCGCGGGGTCACTCTCTGTGCATGGTCAAATCTCCACGGAATTAGGGTTACGGATGGTCACGCATGGACGAACTCTACCAGGAGGCAGAAGGCCCCTCAACATTTATGAATAGGCCGCAGCTCGAAGAAATTCACTTATTGCACCGTGAAATGTCACGCTCAAATAAACGTTCGATATGCCTTAAAACAAACACACTTTTCATTCTTCTTGTCTGTCGTCAACTTCTCTCGATCACCCATACGAATCGTGTCGACACGTAGCTAACAACAAAAGAAAAATAATGGCCACACTGAAAACAATTGATCAATAACCCCAAAACAATTGGCTAAAATTATATGTGATCAACTACAGCAAGAGAAAAACCAATTTGAGTTTGGTCACAAGGAAAATAAGAATCTTATTGACATATAACAACTGCAATAAAACAAAAAACAATTTGGTAACTAAAAGTTAATTAACAACAACAACAAAAAATACAAAAAAACATTTTGAGGTGGACTACACTAAAAAAACTTTAACTTAAACAGTTTTTCTTCAACTACAATTACAAAAAAAAGAAAATAATGTTGGATAAACTAAAAATAATTTATTATGTAATTAATAATTATAATAATATAAATTATAATATATTATTGAATGAAACATTTCTAATTCTTCTTTTCTTTGTCATTGAAATAATAAGTAATATAATATGTAATTTTTGTTACTTAATCGGTTTAAAAGGATAAAAACAACTAACATGTACACGAAAATACTTAATGAAAGAAGCAATGATTCATGTGGAAAATAGAAAGTTCAAATCACGTTCCGATGAAGTACAACAACGGATAAAAATTATATATTTCCTCCTTGCAATTTTATGTGTATTAAATACTTCTTGATTAATTTACTTATAACATAAAAATGATCTTGTAAATATACATTTTTTTATCAAAGTTTGTCGGTTTCATTCAATTACTAAATGCTTTTAATTCTTTTCAATTAACATTTTTTAATAGTTTTCTAATTGATTAATTTTATGTTACTTTTAATAAATTATACAAGATTTTATTATGAGTCCATATTTAAAATCTGACTGAATGCAGTGTGTAGATTGAGAGTGCTCGGTGATTGGTGAAGCGAAGAACAAGGTGTTAATGTGGTCCCCCTTTCGGTTAAGTTAGGCCCGGAAGCGAAGAGAAAGGCTTGCAGCGCGCAAAAAAAAAAACCGGATCAACAATGATCTGCAGAGGTGCGATTGGTCGACGGCATTGTCCAATCGCAGACGTTCCTGTCAAACTGGGGGTACGCGCCGCGTCCATCATCGGAGTAATTGCGTAATTACTGCGTCGCTCCAGAAACGAAAAGCGATGAAAAGAAAAGCAAGAAAACAAATGCATGCATTCATCGGACCCGGGGGGTCTCTGAGCGCCATCTTTGAGCTCTGCACGGAGTAGGATTTGCATAACATCAAAAACTCTTAATGTATGGATGTTGTTTCTTGTTCGAACTTAAGGAAGTGGAGGAGTATGAGGAAATGATGTTTGCATCAGATAAATAGAAACAAAATCGGGTATCGGGTTTCTGGATTTACATCAATCCGTAACGAAACAAATTTACTATTACGGTTACTACAATCGTATCACCAGAAATAAAGAAAAACAATCTTTATTTGTAAGAACGATATTTAGTAAATCATAGTTTGTAAATAATTTTAGTGCCGGTGATTGAATTATGTTAACTTACTTGTAACTTTCATCATGCAAGTATAAAATATTAAATAAATCAGATTTGTTGGATGCGTTGATCATCTATATTTAGACATAGCGTAATTATGCTCTAATAAAGGTGTGTCATAGATGTGTGAACAAAAAAAAGTAAGGAACGCGTCGGACGGCGGAGAGCGTCGAGATTAGATTAGCCGGAATTTGGATCGGCGAGAAACAATAAAAAATAATAACGGAGACGGAAACTTTTCCATCGTAATTCCATCGCATCTTGTGTATTAATTCCGATTGTTCATCGGATGCGGAATAATCTGGGTGGGCTTTGTGCACCTTTGATTGTTTGCTGCTTTTTTTTGGTTGTTACAACAATTATTCCTTAGAGACGAAACGTCGTTGCATGTGGACAACAGCATACTTGGGTTTTCCTTACGTTTCAATTCCATTCCATTTATATATTCCTTTCGACCGGATGTTTTATATGAAAGCCAGAGCGAACGAACAGTTTGTCGAGTATC